GCTTAAATTACGGAAGGCTGAAAACCCGATTCACACAAGTGCACATGTACTAGGATCAGACAAAACGCACACGTTCAATCAGCCTTCCAACTCGTGAGACATTCACATTCGTTTAGCCTTTGTACACAGAAACAGTTTCGTTTCCAACCAAACACTCGTTGTTGTATCCAAGCAACATTTATTTTCCGGACAACTCTCGAGATTTGTCAGTTACCGTGCTGTGCGAAAAATAACTCTGAGTCTACGTTCGTTCATCCGACTAAGAGAGTTGGTATTACATTGTTAGAACCTGACGTATTCAAGAGGCAGTATTCAACAAACAGTAACATGGATAATTGTCACACGCATTCGGATTCTCACCCCGAAAGGACGAATGTTCAGCAACCCACCATCAATATGGTGCTTTCCACACGGATACCGTATCCACAAGCAGTAATACGAGTACAAGACATCACATGAAGTTAAATATTAAACAGAGCAGGTGCAAAGACACAGTATTGCTTCATACCAGAGACAACATCAAAGTCATCCTAGGTCTGACCACTCGGCTGTACCATGGCCCGCATACCACTGTGCAGACATACAATTACAAACTTGCACAACCAAACTTACCCAACACCAGCCACAATGCCTCGCGGTTCACCTATCAAATGCCTTGGTGAAAACAACAAAAACAAATACAATGGCTGGTGTCGCTCTCTGTAGTGCTACTGTAGCTGACGAGTAGCGAGCACCATACCTATAGTGCTGCGGCCAGAACGAATCCACAGTGATCTTCCGCCACTTTCTGTTCAACGAGCTGAGTGATGAGGCGATTGAGCAAGATCCGGGCGATCACATTCCCAACACAACTCAGCAAGTTGATGCCACGATAATTCGTGCAACATTGCTTGCTACCTTTGCCCTTGTACAGTGGTAGCACAAGGGCATCCTTCAGCTTAGCCGGTACCTCCACATCAAATCACAAAGGTTGTACCAAATGGTGCAGAGTATTTATCAACGCGCTAGCGCCATGTTACAATAGTTCAGGCGGGATTGCATCGATACCGGCACACTTGCCGTTTCGCAGCTGAGGAAGTGCTCACTGCGTCTCATCCAGTGTCGGTGTCGGCAAGACAAGTCCTCATCCCGTGTTGTTGCAGGCATGCGATTGTACTGGTGGGCACTCGCACTCCAGGTAGCGGTTGTACTCCGGAGGTTTGCTTGAGGGACTCCACCCAGGGCCTTTGGCTCAACAGCATGACCCACAAGGCAGTGGGGAGTGGATCCATCTCAGGAATGTGATTGCAGAGACAGATTGGGATCTGTTTGAGGTCCGTCACACGCACTCTATGAGGTACTGGCACGATTCATATGTGCTTTGCGACCGTAGTAGGATACGCAACTGCTACCACGGCCAGCCGCAGGTGGGTTTTGCCGGGTTTTCACCAATTTGACTAGGGGCTGGATGGCTTGAGGCGGGCAGTAGCAAACCATTGAGCACCTAGGGGTGCCCTCCGATCGTCAGTGACAATGCGTGGCGCTCGTGCTCTACTCTAATCGAGCTGTGAGCTTATAACCCGTTGATCTGTTTGTCTCTCGTGGCTAGGTCATAACGGGAAGGGCGCCATCGATTACTTCCTAACCTCCGTAGAGGATGGACTAAGATACTGGCAGGGTGCCCACACCTGACAGGAGGACGACTCGGGTGCTCAACCAAAGCAGCGGGTCTAGCACATGGTCAGTTCACTGACTCATGCGGATTGGTGTCCCAGATCTTAACAGGGAGAAGGGTGTAACCCAACTCCCACCCAGCGGTCGCCACGAGGAATCGTCCAGGAAATGAGCCCATGGCACAAAAGTAGCAGCAGTGTATAGACCATCTGTCAGGATCTAGCCACCACCGGCCTCAGCGCACCATAGGCTCTCCCGCCATATATATATATATATATATATATATATATATATATATATATATATATATCACAACATTGTAGATCATAACGTGCAGCAACATTTGCATAAATAACGTATACATTCCGTAAATTATGCCGATGGTTAAATCAAGTATCCTTGTTGCTTTCACTAGCATACCGAATTCATTTACTCTCTTATAAATGGAATACCTGGCAAGTTATCATAAAGCGCTTCGCAAACTAGATTTTTGATTTAACGTGTACATTCTTATGAACTGTGTAATCGAGATGGGTCACACACTGTGTTGTTTGTATATCCCCATTGTTTTCACGTCGGGGTGAATGTTAGGACATCACCGTATGTTCTGAAGTTGTATCGCTTTCCATACGTGAAGTCTTTTGTGTTATAGCTCACACACTGATTCTCGGATTAGTAAATCCTTCATCTGCTTTTTAGTCTGAAGCGACGCACTCGTCTCTATATTCAGTCGTCTAAATCTAATCCCATCAGCCTCGATCCTCCATGGGGAGTTGTTACAACGTCAACTAGTTCGCCAAGAGGTGTTAGCAAGGTGCATCTTCCCTCCGGCACCGTCCCTTACTAGGTGGTTGTGATTCTTTTATCTGATGGCCTAAGATATCTGTATTGTGCATCGGCACCCATGCTTGTTACAACTTAAATACACATCGGACACGGAAGCCCTCTGAATCCTAGGCCGGATGCATACTATGTCGCAAGTAGACGATTTGATTTGAGAAGGCGTTGCGAAATTCGGTATCTCTTACATCTATATAAACTCAACAGTTCAAGGAGTAGACATGGAGCTATAAAGAAAACCATAAGAATCAAATGAAGTACAATTTGACAAAAATAGAACGAAGCATTTTTGCTTGGTTTTTCGCATGCAGATTTAAATTTGCTTTTTGTTACTTTCAATTTTCGAAGTATTAAACTTGTGAATCAATACAATTCTGTACACAATTGTTCTAATAATTCCGTTTGCGAGCCAAGTCTTCAGGCATGTGAAGTTATTGGGGCTCCTCATCCTAGCAAGACGAACGGGTCAAACTGCGACTAGATGCGACGTGAGCGATTTCATGTGCTGTCGCCAAGTGGAAGGTTGAACACCACGCGGTCATATCCGGCCAAGTCCTTGACGAGCGAATAGAGCGCGGCGCGGAAAACGCTTAGGTGTCATGTGTAAGACGTGACCAAGCTATCCCAACTAGCGCAGAAAAACCAACTTGTTGAAGGGAATACTCGCATTCCCCAAGACGCGACGTCGAACGTCATCACAGTGAACTCGATATTGCCACTACACACAACCGTTGTGGTAGGTAGAAAAACGACGCATGTCTTCTATGCGAATTGATCAGGATTCGCTTCCATGCAACAACACTGAACAAACAGAGACACTGTAACCACGACCCTTTTTCGAGAACGAGACGTCACGACGTCGCAATTGCCTCAGATTGACAAATGCTGATCGGGCTTTAGCAATGTGAGGAGAAACTTTCTTGCTAATAGTGCCGCCAGCAGAAACAGCACACATGGTAAACGAAACTATCTACCTGTTCAAGTTGTACACCTTCAATGGTGAGCACGAGAGCAGGCGTGAGCCAATTCTGGAGCAAGATACTACACTTCGATGAGTCAAATCTTATGCCATATTTAGATGCTACAACCGTGTACCCTGTGGATCGGCACCAAGTAAGACGATACCAGCATAATCTAAGTCAATCACGCGCTGGTTTGCCGAACAACCTCCTCGTGGTGCCAGCTGGGCGGTTCGGGATTATCCCGTTCCAGCAAATCGTTCGGCGGCAGGGTTCCAGGATGTGGTAGTTTTCTCCTGGCAAGTGATCTCCGTATAAAAAGTCACATAAGTCCGTTTAACAACATTGTGACGTGGCGGATGTGACTCGCAACTAAATAAAGTCACTGCCCCTTTCTTCATCCTGGCGAACATTGTATTCCAGAAACTTATTCCTGAAATTGCGGTGAGCATTGGGCCCTTGTCTGGAAAACGAAAGGCGTATGAACTGGACAATCAATCACCGGCTCCCAATCGGCGTGATTCCCTGAATTCGCTCCGCTGCCTTGCGGGCAGGCCATTCGGCCAAGGGCTCGGGGTGGTGTCCCCTAAGTCAACACCCTACTACGGCTTGAGCAAACAAGTAGTACTTCGGTTTCTGACAAAACCATGGACTCATCCCATGGACTTTGAGTCCCATGGTTTTTGATGGCTCCATGCCTATTCGTAGGCTATTGCAAATACATAAATATATACGCGCTCACTCGGCAGATGCTCTAGACTAAAATTTTGGAAACCTTCTGGAGCTCTCGAGATGACGTCCTTGATTGCAAAGTTGAAGAGGAATGGGGACATAGGGTAGCTCTGTAGCCCACCGTTACTGCCAGCGAAAGGCGATGAAAGCTTGTCGTAGACACTCACTTTGCCGACGCTATGAATGTATCTGTTACATCTACTTCTTGGTGTGTGATTCCGGTTGAACTCGTTTTTTGCAAGCTCCGAATCTCAGTCAAAGTCAGAAGTCAACGCTTGGGAGCAAAAGGGTGTTTCAGAAGCAGCTACCAAAACGGAGACAAGTATACTTGCGAAATCAACGGACATTTAAAGTCAGGTCAGGAATGTCCACCTATCAGAACAACGGGGTCAATTCTCCTGATTGGCAGATCAGTTACGCTAGCCAATGGGAAGGTAGGTACGCAGGTCGTGTGAACGCGGTTCCTTAAAACAACTTGATTTTCGGTTGTACCCCACTGGCTCAAATCGTTTCCCCTCAAAATAATGAGTTTCCCTAGGAAATCTTACTCTCCCAGACAGTATCCAAAGAAAACACACACCAATCAGATCATTGAAAACGGGTTTATATAAAGGGATAAACCTGCTCAGCGGACAGATGTGACAGTAGAGGAAAGGAAACGCGGTTCAAACTGAAGCAGCATCGATCGAGTCACATGATAATGTCGGATGGTGAGAAGCTGACCGCAAAAGGAAGCGGAAGCGGAGAAAATGAGGAATTCCATGAACTGACAAACATCGTAAGTAACTGGATGGGACACGAAGTGATCGTTCTGTTTTACAGATTAATGATGTGATGAAACAATTCCAAGATAATCTGATTAAAATGATCGATAAAATCAACAACAAAGATATCCTTTACGTATAAGAATTTACATGATTTTGCACCGTAGAAAAGAAACGCAGCATCAGTCCTTGACATAAAATATGCTTGATACTTCAGAATATCGAAAACAGAATCACAGAAGTTGAAAGCACAGTGACAAGTTTGATTGGAGACGCACCGGAAAAACAGGATTGATAAACTATTGTGCATTTCCACTGCAGCACTGAATATGTTCAGCGGATTTCGTTCCATAAATACAAAAATATTCATCTACGTGTACCGAGTTCGTAGAGCAAATCGGACCTTGCTATTATCGTGACAGCAAGTGACTGTGTTCATCGCAATGTTTGTTCTGATGTGTGTGCCGTAGTAGGGAGTCTGTCGATTCGAATTGCTGAAGTGAGGAAGACGCCAGACTCCCGTAGGATGTCACATAAGTAATCTGGCCTTGAGGCCTGGAGGTGCTCGCGTGACTTCGTCGAAGTGCAACACGTTTTGGCTGATAGACCCATACCCGCATAGGCCGAAGGAACACGGTGCACATCAAAGTATGGAATGTTACAAAAGTGATAAGACACACTATCACAGGTAAAAGAATATGTGGAGTGAATTTATCGGAATATTGGCAATTGAGTAGATCAGACCATACCCATTCAGTACGATTAAGCGCATATTGTATATCAAAACAAACAGCAAAGCGATCATTAGTGAACTTTTTGTACTCGACAATGCGAAATTCCCCCTGATCCACATTAAGGCGGACGATCTTTTTGTTGTAAAACTCGAGCATATTTTGATAGGCCTCTGAGCAAATGTTGCAAGCGGAACGATCGACCACTAACTGATCGATTGCCGGGAAGGAAAGGGAGTCGAGGATAGAAACGCTTTTGTTCTTGATATGTGCATCAAAGCATTCCAAGGTGGCGCTTAGCAGTATGAAAAACTTAACAGTTTCATTGTTGTACGCTTTCATGTTGTAATAAGGCAGATTTTGCTGTGTTGCTTCCAACGAGTTATGACTCATCTTCGCGTTCGTATAGCCCTGATGGCTCGTTTGATGCAACGTGTCCCCATGATCTTCGGGGTGCAAATCTGATTGATTGGCCAAGCAGTATGAGCAAAATGACCGGCTCCAAATATCCTCAATAAAACGAATCAAATCCAGAAAAGCCTTTAATGACGAAAGGAAACAAAAAAAACACAGAGTGAATCACCAAAGAGTCATAGCGCAAACGCAATGCAAACAAAGTGTAGCTTCATTCTAATCACTGCACTCACTGGCCTCTAATGAGAATGACGTGACGAGTTCAATCAGTGAAGACGTCGTAAATGCATTTTATCTCAAGAACCAGTGAAAACTATTTTTTTCGGCGCCCTAAAGTGCCCCACTTAGTCTTGATCTATGACTGGTACGATGGGATCAGCAACGTTGAACCGCTCGGGTTAGAAGAAACACAGTTTAAGCCGTGTTCATTTTGTCAGTGACTGAAGGATTGCACTGTCAGCGCGATTTTGAAAACCCAATGGGCCACAGCGCTTGCCCTGAGAGTTAATCAACCAAGGTCCGAGCAATTAAGCACCATGCATCCAAAAACATTCACGCGTGATGTTAATGAATGAAAAACAAACGTAAATGGATTGAAAACAGAAAAGTATCAAAGATCCTAAGAGCAATCTATATGGGGTCTCGGTGTGGAACTGCAGATGGCATGGTCCGAAAGCAAGAGTGTCAATGACTCCGCGATATCACTAAGTTGGACGATGTCTTTAACTACTAATGTGGTCTGCTTCTAAGCCTCACCAAATAGGATAATACGTACCAATCCGGTTCTTTCCGTTAGTGGCTTTACGTCTCTCTGGAATGTCACTTTCAGTCCAATCCTGGGTGGAAAAAGCGGTGGAGGCGAATAAGGATCGCGGCCCTAACAGCACGGGTAATTCAAGCTCGGTAAGTAATGCAGCATAGTTTGTTACCGAACTGTAAGCGCGATTTACATGCAGCTAGACTGTCAGACGCCAGTTGTCATGACGAACAGGCGATTAGTCGGGAGAGCAACATTGACTTGGGTACAGGGTTTTACACCCTGTCTTTGCCAAAGTTATATCACGTCGCCTGATTAAGGAGTTAAAAAATCACAGGTCGCATTGACGCACAAAGTAGTCGCTTCGGCGACTCGACTGTCAGACGTGAGGAAGCCGTCGAAATAATTGAATCTATCAGACTTTTGATCATACAACCACCAACTACGCTGTTTCTCCAAGTCCACACAAAAACTGAGCACAAATCCAGAGAACCGCACGTGTCTGCTGGTGCCCCATGTTACAGAGGTTTCAGCAGTAACTACGAGGGCATCCCTTCCATTTTTCTCAGTTCAAAAATAACTGACCATACGTGCTGGCTTGTCCAACAACCTCCAGGTGGTGCTAGCTAGGCGGTTCAGGAATTTCTTGTTCCAGCGAGTGATTCGAAGCAGTATCTCTGGACGTGATTGGCTTTCGCCTGAAAAGCGATTCCTTATAAAAAGTTATAACTACCTGTTTAGAAACACTTTACGCGGTGGATGTGACTAGTCACTGCTCTTTGTCTTAATCGGACACGTAGTAGACCGATAAACAATCCAAGCCTCGCATTCTATCTTTGAATTCGGGAGTATTGGGTGTTCAGTCACCGGCTCCAAACGGTTGCAAAACTCTTATCTCGCTCTGCTCGCATGTTGGTCAAGCTATTTGTCCAAAGGTTCAGGGCGGTGGTCCCCTAAGACAGCCCACGTACTTCGGCCTAGGCAACCGGGTAGTATTTTGCCTATTGATGAACTATGGAACTGTTATGGGGACCAAACGTCTTCACAATTATTAAAGGCTGAAATTACGGAAGGCTGAAAACCCGATTCACTCAAGTGTACATGTACTCAGACCAGACAAAACGCACACGTTCAATCAGCCTTCCAACTCGTGTAACATTCACATTGTTTAGCCTTTGCACCCAGAAACAGTCTTGTTTCCAACCAAACACGCATTGTTGTATCCAAGCAACATTCATTTTTCCGGACAACTCTCGCCAAACTTCCAACATTTCTGCTCAGTTTACGGACTTTGCACATTTACATAAAACCATGTTTCTTGTTTCCAGGGTTTGCTTACGCAAACCCTTCCAAGGAAAAACCCCCCTTCATCACCGTTTCGTGATATAAAAATGAGGCTGTAGAACGCTAGAATCGCCTTAGCTTTGGCCAGTAAAAGCGCCTGTGGCAAAGGCCTGTCTTGTTCTTGATTCAGTCTTGCGTTGGGAAATCGTGCGTAGAACTTTGCGTTCGGTCTAGGAACCTGTTCGACTCGCGTGAATTAATCTTTCGCGGCAATGTACCTGCTCTTCCCATGTATCATTCACCACCACTGAGTTGATTCTTTAACGGTAAAAAACCCTACCTCCACCGATGAATTCGTTCCCTTGCCATCCGTGAATTCTACCAAACAGTCCCCGACAAGGAGCTGTCAGTCCAGAAATCTACCGAATTCGCTCATGCAACCTGAAGCAGCCTTAAAGGTGAGTACATTATTGCAGATCGGATAACAAGCTGAATCTGTATGCAGGCTGGAGTACCTTGCAATAGACGTCTTCTACCTGAGTTAAGCTCGACTCCAGAATTCCAAGTCTACCAGCTGTCGTCAGCGCTACAACCACACACACCCTTCCATCTCCACCTTTCAAGTGACGCCGAGTTTACCGCATCTAGGCAAGCTCAGTGATAAAGCAGAAGCCGTTCTCCTTGACTAGATCCAAATCAACAGTGCCCTTTGTGCTATGAGGCTTCGTTGCTCTTGCAGGAGTAGCAGACGTGGGGTCGACAAGTGTGTTATTTTGTGATCCCCGCCTTCGCGTTCTCTGACAACAACTCGGATACAGTTAAGAATCAATTCTATCAACACCCTCATGAGTTGTTCCTAAGGGCATCTAAGACAGAAATCATTATTATGGCAGGGCACCAACTCAAGTACTGGTCGGTTGCTGCCATTTGAACTCAATCTAGGGTGACCGCATGAGTGTGATGATGTTCTCTCTAACAACAGAGACATCTCAGCAGCAATTTATTCTCTCCAGTACGAGTTTTCGTCACCCTGGACGCCACTATGCTACCATGATCAACCTAGCACTGGTCACGAATTGATCACACAGTCTTAAGTAGCAGGTGGCGCGGCAGCGCACGCGAGTGCCGATCATTTCGGTCAACATGCGTTGTGTGCGACAGTTTGCATACCGTGACTCACCTAGGGACAAACAAACCCAACTGACCAGCTACAAGTTGGAAGACCCGACGGTGAAAACGGAATATCATGAGAAGCTTCGTGAAAATCTCGCTGTCTCCCCTGATCTGGATGTAGAACAACACTGGTCAGGTATGCAACAAACCATGCAGTCTGTAATGGGAGTGTCATACAAGAGTTAACGGACGGACCAACCCAGCGAGCCAGACAGCCAACTGGAGATGGGCGTAACGGATTCGATCACTAGACACGGGTATGCCGACATGCGTGTAAGTTACTCAGCTATTGTTTAACTGAGTCGAAGGAAGAACCACATCGACTCAGGAGAACCGTTAGTTATAGACGTGAAAGTGGAACCAATATCGATGAGTTTGGCCTTCTAGACATGCCGTAAGTTTTGCCGAGCTGACTGAGCTGAATAAACGCTTGTCCCTGAAGGACTGAGTTCTGCAACACTGTCTGCCGGTTTGGCCAGCTGCGGGTTCGCCCGCTACACTGCCAAAAGCTGAATCTCGGCAACATTCTCGGAGCTGCTAGATCGTCGATGGTGCGGAATACAGTAAACTCCGTCGGACTATCTCTCAACAGCTGAAAGCAAGATTTTACTCAGACTGCAGATTTTAGGTAGTCAAAATGAACCGGTTATATAGAAGTCGCTCCATCGGCCGGAAACCTGCAGTTCATTTTACCTCATCAGCGCCACTGGGTGTAATTCACACACCATCATTAAGACAAGCTGGGAGTCAGACGGTACGAATTCACCAACCAAAAACAGACGTATGGATTGCTATTCAGCTTAACTACTTAGCACACACCACCGTGACAACGTCGTTTCCTTCGGACGGTGCTTGGTATGTCCCAAAAGGTCCTCCTAATAAAGCGAAGATCGGAGGCGCACGAATTATCGTGGCATCAACTTGCTGAGTTGTGTGGGCAAGGTGATTGCCCGAATCCTGCTCAACCGCCTCATCAGTCAGGTTGTGGAACTTAACATGCCGGAAGAGCAATGTGGATTCCGTTCGGGTCACACCACTATAGATATGGTGTTTGCGGCTCCTCAGTTGCAGGAGAAGTGCAGAGAACGACACTAGCAATCGTACTCGCTTTGTGCTGATTCCACCAAAGCATTTGATACGGTGAACCGCGAGGCATTGTGGCTGGTGTTTGGTAAGTTTGGTTGCCCGCGTAAGGTTGTAAGTTTAATTGAATTTCTGCACAGTGGTATGCGAGCGAGGGTGCAGCTGAGTGGAGAGACCTCGGATGACTTTGCAGTTGTCACTGGTGTGAAGCAAGGCTGTATCTTAGCTCCTGCCCTATTTAATATATATCTTCATGCAATGTTGTCCTGTGCGTTTGAAACCGCTTGTACTTACGGTGTTCGTGTGGAGCACCGTATTGGTGGTGGGTTGCTGAACATCCGTCGTTTCGGTGCAAGAAACCTAGACTGTGAGACAACTATCCGTATGTTGCTGTTTGCTGACGACTGTGCGTTGTTTTCACACAGCACGGATGAGCTGCAGCATATGACTAGTGCACTGGCTTCGACAGCGGCCAAATTCGGGATCACCATCAACACAAGCAAAACTGTCTGTCTCGTTCAGCATTCACCGGAAGTGCAACCTTCACTATTGCCGCGAATCAGCATTGGTGCTGAAGTATTGGAAAATACCTCCCGCTTCTGCTGCCTAGGGAGTGTGATGTCGACTGATC